TCCCCCCCCCCCCCGCCCCCCCCCGCCCCCCCCCCGCCCGCCCCCCCCCCCCCCCCCCCCCCCCCCAGGTAAAAGGAAGGCCGGGCATTTAATGCTAAAAGGATTAAATTATAGGCTTTTGTACTTAAATAAGTGGCGAAATGTAGAAGATTAATAATAAGTTATTAAGGATAGAAGGAAGTTACCTTATTATTTATAAAGTTAATAATAAATATTATATATAAAAAAAAAGTTAATTAATTAAAGTAATAAATTATATTAAATTTTATTTTATATATATTAACGTTTAAAGATTATAAGTTACAAATTATTATTATAATATAATATATATATATATATATAAATATTTATATATTTAAATAAATTAATTTTTAATTAATATTATATATTAATATTTTTTATACTAATATATTAAGTTATTTTTACTTAATTATTTTTAATTTATTTAAATTTTATATTAATAATTTATATAATAATATAAAATTAATAAATATTTTAACGTAATTAATATTATATTATTTTATATAAATGTTTTATTATATTAATATAATTTAAAACGTTAATTATAAAAGTTTTAATATATTTATAAAGTTTATTATTATAAATCCTTAAAATTGATTTTAATATTTATTTATTATTTTTTTAAAAGTTTAAACATATAATGCATTTATATTAATAATTTCTAAATTTATTAACATAAATAATATTTAAATTACCTTTTATTTAAAAGTAACTATTTAAGGATTAATTAATTTTTATTTTACAGTTATATAATTAAAATATTAAATAAAAGTTATTTAATTAAATATATAATTTATTAAAACTTATAATTTATTTATATTTTTTATTTTAATTAAATTAATTATTATAACACGGGCTTGCGCTTATATTAAGCTTTTTAATTAAAATATTATAAAATATTTATAATATATAATAAATATTAATTTAATTAATAATATTAATATTATATGTGTTATTATAATAAAATCTTTTAAATTATTATAATAATAACTTTTTTAATTTTATTAATTTATATTATTAAAACTTTAATAATATTAATTAATATTAGTAAATATATATACATAATATAAAATAATAAATAAATAAATTAAATAATAATAAAAGTAAAATTAATATATTAATGATATTTAAAAAAAAATTTATTTAAAGTTAATTAATAATATAATATCTTTTTATATAATAATAATAAATATATTATTTCTCTTTTCAATATCGGCGATAAAGCACTTTATCCTTAATAAAGTGCTTATGTATCGATGTTACATAACTATTAAAAGTAATAATATTTATAAAAGAATTACGTATAAAAGTTTAAATAAGTAAAAAACTATAATATAAATTTATAAAAAAATGGTATAAATACTTTTTATATAAATATTAAAAAATCTTTAAAATTATATAATAAAATTAAAGCAATTAAATATAAGTTATATAAGCTTATATAATTTCCAGAAATTTTAAATAAAATTTAAAAAATTATCATAATTAAAAGAACTTATAATTAACACTTTTTATAATAACATATAAATAATAGTTAATAAATTAATTAAATACGAATATTTTATATTATATAAAAAAGCTAATATTATAAAGAATTTAATATATATTTTCTTTAAATATATAGTTAATAAATACGGATTATTAAAATAAAGTATCTTAAATAAAAATAAGCTTTTTATATTTAAATTTTAAATTAATTTAATAAAAAAAATAAATATTAAATAAAAGTTATTTATAATATATTACATATAATTGAATAAATAAATAAAACAATTAAATTAAATATTAAAATAATATTTCCGTATATATATTAATAAAATATAAAATAATTAAATAAAATTATTATTATAAATAAAAATATAAAAATGTCTTTATTTAAAATAAATATTAAATATAATTTTTCAATAATAAAGTTAATTAATATAAAACATATAATTATATTTAAGGTAAAAACTATAGCAGAATAAATTATTATTATATAAAAGTATTTAATAAATAAATTTAAGTTTTTATAAATTAAAATAAAAAAATATAATAATTAATATAAAATTAAAGAACTAATTGTTAAAAAGGGAAATAAAGTTTATTTATTACGATAAAATATTAAAACTAAAAAATTAAATAAGAAATTAAATTATAAGAAATTTAAATTATTTAAAATTAAAGAAATTATTTTAAAAATTAATTATAAATTATTATTATTAATAAAAATAAAGTTACATTTAGTTTTTTTTTATTTTTTTATTAAAATTAACTTTTAAAAACGCATTTATATAAATTATTTTAAAAACGCATTTATATAAATTATTTTAAATATTAAAATTAATTAAGAATATAAAGTTAAAAAAATATTAAATTTTAAACTATTTAATAATTAAATTAAATACTTAATAAAATAAAAAGATTATTTATTAAAAAATATATATATAAAAATTAATTAAACATTTTAAAAACGCTTAAAAATTTATTAAAAATTTTTATTAAAAAAACCTTAACTATTTCCGAGCAAAAAAAGACTTAAATTTAAATTAAAACTATTTTAAAAAGAGGTAACCTTAATAAGATCGTTAGGAAATATAATAAAACCAAATAAGCTTAAAATATCTTTATTTTAATTTTTTTCTTTTTCTTTTAAACGTTTAAGTTCCTTTTTATAATATATAATCTTAACAACTTTAATCTTAACTATTTCTTTTTAAAAACAAAATTAATTAAATTAATAAACGCATTTTAATATATTATTTAAACAAACATTAATTTTCTCTTAAAAAATAATATTTTCCTAATATTTTTAAATTACTTTACAAAATTAAAAAATCCGGAATTAAAAAATAACAGGTTTTACTAATATAAAAACAGTAAGAATAAAGAATTCTTTAATAACCGAAAATCTTAATAAAAAAAGCATAGGCTTCGTAAACACCTTTCGAAATACGTTTTAATATTATAATATAAAAAGTTAATTTTATAAAGTAAAAAAAAACACAAAAAAATGAAAGAAAACCTTAAAAAGAGAAAAGTAATATTATAAATTAACAATTAATAAAACTATACCTAATATAAAAACAGGGTATTAATTAATAAATATTTTAATTAAACTTTAAAAAATTAATAAAATCTTAATAAAAATAATATATAAATAAAAAGGTTTATAAATATATTTAAACTATTATATATTTAATTATTTATTTACATTTTCTTAATTATTAATTTAAATTTTATATTTAATATATATAAGGAAAAAAACTTTAAGCTTTTTTAATAAACATTTTAACGTTTTATTAAAACTTAACTTATATTATTATTATTTACTTAAAATTAAAACCTTAGTTATTACATTTTATCGAACTTAAGTATAAATTCGTTACATATAATTTATTAAGCTTAAAGCTTTTATATTTATAACGATATTTTATAAATAATATATATTTAAAATACTTATAATTAAAGTTATATTTTATATTAAAAAAAATTAAACCTTTAAGGATATAAATAATTTATTTATTATATTACTTATAAAATTAAAAGTTTTCGTAATTATAATTATATTTATTTAAAATTTAATAATTTATAATTATAGTTATACCATTTTTTATATTATTATAAAAATGTAAAACTTTTATACCGGTTTTACTCCTATTATTATTTATTTTACTTATTATTTAATTTACATTTTACGTACGTACTTACTAACAGTTTTTATATTTATTAAAAATATATTTAAATAATTTTTTAAAATTAATTAAAACCATATAAAAACGTTTTTTATAAAATAGTAATAAATTATTAAAACCTTATATTTATTTTTATTAAAATTAATTTAATAAAAAATTAAATAAAATTTAATTACATTAAATTAACTTTTTATATTAATAATATTATCGTATTTTAATAATAAAAAAAAATTAAATTTTTTATTAATTAATAATAAAACCGTAATATTTTATTATATTAATTATAAATTAAACTTTTTATTATTATTATTATCATTTTATTAAAATTTAACTAATTTGTTTTGTAGAATTAAATCCGAAAACTGGCTGACGTAACCGAGCATCAGCTTAGGGTAAGTTGTCGCAAAACACATAAGATGAACTTGACCAACTCCTACTTTTCACCAATCTTTTCCATCATCCTTCCCTGGTCGATCCACTTCTCCTTTGATGTCTCTTAATCGCATTGTTTGCCATACACCCCTCAGTCGGATCGCCTACCGTACAAGCATCAGAATGGCATCCACCATAGTGGGAAAATCTGGTCGTGTGTACGTTCAGAGGGAGGTGCTCCAACTTCATCGACAGGACCGTAAGCTTAGCGTCTTCAAAGCCGAGTACGTCTCAACCTCGATGTGCTCATCCCAAAGCTTAGCCACACCTCTGACCCATCTCAATTAGGTCCGGGAGTGAGTCTTTTGTCTTCAAGCGCGTACCTAGGCCAATATACGATCTGTCCCTATGCCTCGCAGCGGAGTTTGCAAGCTCCCATCGGCTTCGAATGCACATCGATTGCAACCAAGAAGAAGGCATTCTAGTCTATCCCTATTTCAGAAGCACCCTTCTTGCCTTGATTCAGGAAGATCCCGACTTTCCTCTAGCAGAACGAAAGAAGATATTGCGACATGTAGGAGAGGCAATACAAGAGCTTCATAGCAAAGATTGGATCCACACCGGTACACTCCGCCCAGAATTGTCATTTAAGACCTCTAACTAATCAATCAATCTTGGCAGATGTGAAACCTGATAACATTTTGGTCAATTGGACTTGCGACAAAGAGGGTAACAAAACAGTTACCGATGTGGCCTTAGGTGATTTTGATATCGCTTTCAAGTCGGAGGGTGGAGAGCCACACCAGACCCCTCATGCAATAGGGAATGCCATGTGGCGAAGCCCAGAAGGACAGACCGGAAGGGGTGTGACAAAGGCGTCAGACATGTTCTCGTTTGGACTAGTGGTAAGTGAACCATGTCAAAATTCAAGAATTCACGCTGACCTCTATTCGCAGTGCATATATACTTTTGGGGGTGGGGAGCTCCTGCTTTTGAACGATTACCAGGAGCTAGCAAAGAGTGGTATAAGGCCGGAACAAGAGATCCTGGTTCGACACTTCTCCTATTTCGGGTTAGTGCCTGAAGGGCTCCTCAAGCAAGTTAACAGTAAGGATTGGTGTGACGCCCTGAAGGGAGCATCAGAAATAGCTGAGGAGGCAGTGAAGGAACAGCCTGAACTAAGATTTGAGTGGTGGGGGAAGGAGCTTGGTCCCGAGGCACAAAACATGATATCTGGAATAACAAATCCAGATCCGGCGGCTAGAACGACAATAAACCAAGTCTTGGCGCATCAATGGTGGCAGGAGGCTACTTAAATAGCTATTTGAGGTGACTGCTGGGGCGGATGCGATGAGAAGTTAGAAACCCATACCATTAAGTAGATATAAGTATACTAGTCGCTATCCAAGAGGTATATGTCAGGAGACCCTGATAGCACTCGCCATTTAAAATCCTGAGCAACGATCTGATCAGCCATTCACTCGCGGAGAACCAACTACCACAAGGAAGTGGGTATTTTATACCAACTATTGAGGCTCGGCCCAAAAATTGTACATTCGAGTTCACAAGACTGAAAAGTCGGGAAATTATTATATAGAATTAATCTATTTACCTATGAATTTCTAATTCTGCGCTCTGGCCATCTCATGACGTCGTTCATCTTGACAGGATAATCCTCCCTTAGATGGCTCTGCATTAGAAGCGTAGCAATTGCATCCTAAATTTCAGGTTTCTGGCCATAGATGACGTGCTTGCGTAAAGTGAGCAAATGGCATTTGAGACGAAACTATGTACTCATAAGTAAAGATAGGAGTGAATTGTAGGGTCTTTTAACTCTTTGCGCAGTTGTGCCAGGTACAGCTGGACTTTCTCGATCGGCCACTATATTACATATTCATGTTAGCCCGTTTCCCATGCCTCGATCAGAAAACGACTCACACCAAGTACTGTTGTCATGCCCCTTAGAGCAAACCCATCAAATCCATCTAAGAGAAAGCACAAATTCCAGTACCCCCACTCCTTAAGCTTTTTGTCCTTTGCCCAGGGGCCTATTGGCACTTTAATTTTCTCCTTGTGAATATGTATAAACCCTGCAGCATTGATTGACTCGCATGCCACCTCGCCTGCCGCAAATGTGTTGCCCATCTTCTGGCCCATTGCCTTAAAAAGCTCCCACCATTGTACCAGGGCCGAGTCCTGCGGCAGGGTTCCATCGTCCGACATCGCCTGTCCTGATAATTCAACTTGCTCAACGAAGCCGTCAGGCTTTAGATGTCTGAATAACCATGAGTAATAAGAACAGATAAATAATGAAGAATGACGTACCGCAGAGCTATTTTATGAAACACGACCCAGTCTGGCACTGACCCAGCCATGGCACGGATATGAATTAAGTCAAACTTGTTGTCTGGATATTGCCACTGCTCATTGATATCGTCGACAACAAAACGGCAGTTGGGCGGCACGGTTGCGGGCTGGATAGGAGATAAATCGATGCCAATTACTTCTGCGGATGGGTATTTATCTGCAAAGTCCTTAAACAGATCGTGAGGACGGCTACATAGAAAGAGAACAGAAGATTTTACATCGCCCAGATGCCTGTACCACATCTAACATCGAGCATATGCTATTCCGAGTTAATGTTGTGGTTTCCGTGTCTGCTGGAACGCATACCTGGGGGTCATCTGAGATTGGAGCGCGATGGAGCTTTCCATCAAGTATTTCGAGGTACATAGTGTGATTATTTATTCTTAACAGATTTATTAGAGATATTGGACGGAATATCGCACCTCAAATCCTCAGCACCTTGTTAGATGTCGTCGTTCGGAGCCCTGCGGAGCGCTGAGTTCTTTGAATCCCGGACTGAATGAGGGCAGAGAGTCAATACCAGTACTGCCCATCTTTGTACGTGTGATATCTTCGTCCGTTCTCCTCTCTATACTTCAAAATTAACGACGATAAAGATTGCGTACTCGACACTAGTCTGTATCAGCGTTAGTGATGCTGTGATGGAGTAGTGGCTCGGTATTCTCACGACTTAGCATATGCAGAATCAAGCTCTTCCGCGGTATCCTATGATACCGATAGTAAGCTAGATAGCGTCCACGAGGAAGAGAGTTAATCCAGATTTACGACCTTGATTATGTTTTGAGGTGTCTCGTCTGTTAGGACGTCGGGATTTGGCGGCGAAGATATCTTAGTAGAGCTAGAGCAAGGTACAATACGAAACAAAGTCACAAACTAGAGTTTAATGCTGAAGGTTAGAGCGCCTACGGGGAAAGTCAGCTAAAGGTTTGATAGTTAATAGATTTAATGGTATTAAAATGATTAATACCCTAAGGTAATAGTCCCGTGTAACCTTTGCTGTGGGAGGCCGTCGGTCACCATCATGCCCTCTTCCAGGTCACTCACTAGGATCACCCCTTGAGTGGCTATGTTGGCACCGGCTTTATGGGGAGTGGAGGACTTGAGAGACCACTTAGCACCGCAGTGTCAGCGTCTTACCGTAGATTCGGACAGATGCCGAAGACCCATGTGCACCTGGATATACAACTGTAACGTGAAGACGAAGGATTGGCCGCCAGGACCTCTAGAACGCATATGTACAGGAAGGCAACGGATAAGGCAGAAACTAATAAACCAATCCGTCGCAATCCACACACGATGCTCAGTCATCCAAACGGGAAGAACACGATGACTAGCGGAGGAACCGCTCCCGACTGCTCAACCCCTTCTAGACGAGCCACCGCCGACAAAATGTGCTCCATATGCGTCAAAGGATACGTACTATTACTCAACATGGGAATAAGACATACCTGTGGGCATGAAAACGAAGCAAAGTCCTTGACGGCACATCCCCAGTCCAGCTCCTGCTATCCAGCATCTTAGCATCAACATCGGGATTGCATCTGAATCAAGCCAGGCAACAGACCTGCAGTAAAATGGGGCAAATGCTGGAACCTTGTCCTAGGTGGTGGGTGAGGCACGGGGCACCGTTCTTCCGGCCAAAAGTCGGGTGCAAACACGCATTTTTGTTCAAAAGGTTCGTGTAAACACGGAAATTCAGAGCAAAATAGGGTAGAACCCCGCGTCTTCCTCTAGATCTTGGTGCAAACACAGCTGTCCACAAGAATTCTGACGCAATATCACATTTTGCTCGAAAGCTCTGTTGCACAATGAAACCCTAAACGGCTTTGCGTAATGGACACCCTTGAACTTCGCTTCCGTTCGCAAGATCGGTCGCTGGACATCGAATCTGCTGCAAAGGAGTCGCTCCATTATACCATCGAGGCAGTCTTAAGAGGTCTCATAACACTTCCACTTGATGAACACCATTTGACTTGCATTAGGCTTGGAAACGCCTTTTGCAATGCCATTCAATCTGGGCCAAAGCGAAGACCAAATGGCCTTGTATCCATTATTTCCTGCACACAGGACCCTAGTGAGAGATCTATCGAGGCGACCCTTCTCCGGAAAGGAGGGAAATAGGCTGTAGTTGCTTACGCTCTGGCTGCGCTCGATAACAGATAAGTGATAAACTGGGCAAAAACTATCCCAACCAATCAACTCGATCTACTCGCAGACTCTACAAAGAACATCAAGGCCAGTAAAAATTTCCTTCAAATTGTGGTGACAACAGACGACAAGTAGCCCGGATTTCAGAAAGCATATGTGCCAGGACCCCGAGACTATCGTGGTCGGGTCTCAAAAGTAAAGACATACATGCTCGAAGGTAAGAAGAGTTGTGTGGTGTTTAACGACAAACTGCTAATTTAATTGTAAAGGGACATTCAACAAACGTCAAATCCAAAAAGACGCGCGTTAATGTTGAAAAAGGGGATAATCAGTGTTTCGAGGAGATAGGCCACGAGATAGCCGTTCCTCGGGCAGAGAGCAGAAAGATGTCCGGAAATAAGCTCGGCCAAAGGCAACAATCTTTGCACCCTTCAGGAAAGGAGGTATTGTTTCGGACAACCCTTGGCCTTCCTAGGAACCAAAAGCTGCCAAATATGGCTAATAAAATTCATACGCCAACAATAAGTCAACAGGCGTGGGATCTGATAAATCCATTGACCGAGGGGAGAGTTGCAGAGACTGAGCAGCTGGAAGCTGCACAGGAATTCTTAAGCTTTAAGGAACTACCGATCATGGCACCGAACTTCAACCAGCCCGCTGGATCTGATCCGAATATAGAGCAGCACGGAGCATATCCCTTCGACCTTGGAACCCTAACGTCGACGGACTTTGATCTTTAGCTGGTTCCCGGCTGTACCAAAAATTATAAGTCGTCACGCTTGACTGTCAACGCCCAAGCAGGACGAAATATGCGGTGGTTCCATCCTGCACCCTCATCTCTCCTCTCTGGACATGTGTCAACGTTCTTTCGGGAAGCGCAAGCCCGGCAACGGTCGCTTGTCCAGCGTCACCATATAAGGCTACAACAATTACACGAGTGTCGTCTTTGAGTTTCATGGTGCAAGGACCTTCGGCACAAATAATGGCTCCAGTTCGATCTTTGTCTGGCTTAATCTATGGATCCGTTAAATAATGTTGGTCTTATGCGATCATGGCCGTACCTTCTCGGCCTCAGCCAGGGCTTTCCTCAGTTCTTAACTGACTGCTTTGACATTTTCCGCTCCTTTATCTAGCGTCCAAACCCCAGCGCCTTCGAAATTCCATTTAGCGCGGACAGCAAAATGTTCAAACCTCAGAAATATTTAATCAAAGCTGTCTAATAGCATTGGTTCGGCCTTATTGCTTTTATTGAACATGTTCCGTCTCAATCAAGGAAAACTCAGTTACCGGGCTACGCAAATAATTTCTTGGTTATAGTTGGAAGTTGTATTAACTAGTGTGGTCATTGATCATTATCTCCATTTCGGATGAGGGGACAAGTTTAATCCGTTTGGTCACATGATCACAAATCTCAACATTTACGGCTTGCTCGTACAGCGTGATCATGCTCAGGCACGCTCATGCGGTGACGATGTCCATGTCCCCAGTGTAGCTTGCTATGAATTTCCACCGAGTCCACGTATAAGCCACACCCAAGTTGCAGACAATCACGAAGCAAGCCAAGTAGTGTAGTTTAATAGCAGGTTTAGGAAATTTTTTATATTCTGAACTCGAGCAAACAGGATAGCCAGACATTATCAATGAAAGGATCTACATTTGATACAAATAAATTTCTATAACTAGTTTGTCTCTAACTGAGATTCGAAGTCAATTTAGAGGTTGTTGCACTTAACTTATAGGATCGATAGCGCTAAAGCTATAGAAAGCACAAAACTTAACCCTGCGCATGGTCAATCATAGTTACCAGGTTCGCAGAATAAAGACAGAGCTGCACTCTATTCATAATAAATGATGTTACTTATCCACCAACACCGTCGGGTCATTCCAAACTTCGTAAAAAATAGCATTCATACGAGAGTATAAGCCCCTATCCTCTCTCTCCCACCTCCCGCCATTCGGAAAGACTGCCTTCCGTAATCTGTTAACCCAAGGTATTAATGGCTGATAATATGCCGTAAAATTCTCCTCCGTAGTTCTGAGGAAGTTTCCCTCATGAGATACTTATCCCTTCTTTAGCTCCGCCAACTCCTCCATATCCACGGTATTTTATTTATCAAATTTCGGGACAACCTGCCCCTGGTCGGGCCCTTTGTAGTGGACGTATATCCAGAACAGTACCCAAAAGAATGACTCAAGATCGTGTATGAAAGAATATTGCTCGCCAAAAAGGGCCCCAATCGCTATAAAGGCTCTGGTTCCTGTCTTTCCTTTTGCTCCTGAAACAACTTCTCGCTGTTCTTTAATAACAAGGTTTAAATCGATTAAGAATAACAGCCAGAACATATTGTTATTATCTTCATTAATTATAAGATTATTAATCAAAATATCCTTATAAAAGATGCCGGTCTTATGTAAAGACTTATATTTATTTATACAACCCTCGAGCCTACGGAGTAAAGCTACCCGAGAACTTGCCTTATAAATTGGCTCCCCGAAAGTGCGGAGTATAACCCGGCGGTGCACTCGATTCGGCAGAGGACTACCAGCTGGCTTGGTCGGAGAAGCGGAATAGGATCGTTTGTTTGGCAGTAGAGGAGCGCCAGTCTGGCTGGATGACCGTTTCACCCCGGCAGTGCTGCGACCTTTCCGTGGAGTAGCTACACTTGTATTTCGTGACATCGCAGTGCGTCCAGCTTGGTAATTCTCTGCAGTTATAATATCTAACCCTTTTCGCACATTGGTCTGAATATTGTCATCTAGGCCTCTGACTTGAACAGTCTCGTGGTAATAATACTTGGCCACATTAACTACCCCTTGGTCGGTTGCCTCCCGAAGTAGTTCACTCTCTTCCTCACGTTCCGTATACTGCCATAAGTCCTTAATGACAAGTGACGTCTGTGGATCTCCCTTGCAATGAGCTTTCCAGCAAGTCGTTGCCCGGCCGGCTATGCAAGGTGCACGCTTCATACGCCTGTCAATAATCAAGCGCTTTGTTTGGCCATTGAGTTCAACGTCAATATATCGCTTATCGCCAGATGTTATAATAGTAGGATCGAACCTAAGCTGCTCTTCACTCATCCACAAAAACCCCAATATCGTAATTATAAACTGCAGGCCATTTATATTAATATCGAATTACTTAGACACAATACCCCCCAGGCAATCAAACTCCTATATCCTCATAAAAAAACCACATATTATAAAGCCTAAGACGAAACGACGAGTGTATTAAGCAACAAGCACCTCTCTGGCATATCTCCCTAGATCAAGCCATGCTTCCGAAGCTTTGTCGGCGGACGGGTTGCTCTTCAGCTTTTTTGGCATAAGGATCTGGGACCAGTGGTATCTCAAGTCTTTCCTAACTTTTAAGTTGTTTACAAAACCGATATCCATCTTACATTTTACAATAGAACCATCGATTGGCTCATTAAGCCTCGCTAATAGTCTCCGCTAACGTACAGGATTTAACTTATAAGCCTCCGCAAATGTCGACAGCTTTATACTGAAGTCCGCAAACCAGTTCAACACATCATCCTAGTTCGCGTCTTTTGGCCATCCCGTCCAGCCGTCGTCAAAGAGCGGATCATTGCTTTTTATATATTATTTAAAAAAAGCCTCGGATGCAATTTCAAGGTCGGCTATACTACCAAAGTATGTCTGGTTGAAGTCGCGGAGCCTGACATACATAGGACCAAACTCCTCCTTAAGCACATCGTCTACGTACTTACAGTGTTCTAACGAATTTGCGAAGTTGCTCGTATTACAGAGCCATGGAGTCGGTTGGAAAAAAGAGGGTATCGGTCGGGGAGGAGGGGTTAATTTAGTGACGGCGTTATAGACTTAGTCCCAGATCTTGCTATCCGGTTTATCAGTGAGGACGGTATTGAGGAAAGGTCGGATACGGTTGAAGTTGAAGGACCTGGAGGCAACCGCGGAAATAAGTCTTAGGAAATTGTTTTGTAAGGTGTTTTAACTTGTTTTCGAGCGTAGAAGGCGAGTGGCAGGGAGATGTCGGAAGGCGGACAGGAGATCGAGGGCGAGATTCTGGATATCTGCAAATAATTAGATGAGCATACTCACAGTTAGACACCAACCTCCCCGTACCTTCGTCGCAAAGTTTACTAAGCGTGTCCAGTGTGCAGGAGATGCTTTTATCTTCACAGATTAAGCTGAAAGAAGCGCGAAAAGTATTAAGGCCTCTTTTAATCAAATCGTTTCTAATGATCTCTAACCAAGTTTAATCTACCATAACGGATATAACATTTTGAAGTATTAGTTAGATAGGACTAAAAGATATTACGTTTTATTGTATTTCTGGCTTAGCAAAATTCTAAACCACCTAGTCAGCCACTTGGTCAGCCATCTCGGAACAATAATAACGCTAAAGGCCCGTACGTTTATCCAACCAAAATAATCTTAATAAACTCCTGAATTAACGTCTCTGGCAAGCTTAGGAGGACCACGGATCGGATAGTAAGATCCTTGCCCGTAGTTGGCTAAAATAACAACTGCTGGAATTTCCATCTCGACAGCAAAGAATAGTATAAGGAGGGAAGCCGACTTAGAGTAAGCAACAACCAGTGGCGGAAATATAAAGAAGAGAAGAGGAGGAAATAGAGGGAGAAATAGAGGAGGAAACAGATAGAAGGGCATTGAGTTTTTGTTGGAAAGCAATGGACTTTAAAGAATAAAAGCAGCCGCCAACACTACTTTAAAGCTCGATTCACGATAGATAAGCGCCAGATCCGAGCCGAGAAGCCCGAAACAAAACCTCCCCCGGCAGTATGGGATATAAAGGCGGCATTGATGTGGAAGGGCAAGTGTTCTACAAGGAGTGATAGGAGTAAGGGATAATATAAGAGATTTAGGGAGGCTCAATAAGTTCCTACATAACTATATACAACATAAACTTGAGGTATATCTGCAGCGGTAAACAGTCCTACGTCATTTACTCGGACTGCACATCTGCCTATGGGAAAACTATCATGCGGCGGATGATGCAACGAATCTATCTTCAAGGGTGTAATTATACCCGTATCCGCACGAGATGGGCTATGGCGAGGCACAGACAACTAAGTCCACGAACAAGGTTCCTTTGCCATAGGCCGAGCATAGGAGCCTGGCATAATATGCTTCAGGTTTGCATCCTTCTCGTGGCTGCAGGTGTACCTTAAGTATTGAAGCACCTGCTAGGTCTACCCGAAGCCAAGCGGCTTTATCTCGGACTTCTCTACGTCCCTCGCCTTCCTTATCCTTAGGGCTCTGCCTTAATAATTAATAGTTCCACCTGGAAACCTTATTTACCTGAGTATGGCTCTCTTTTGAGGATTCTATGTATGAATTAACCTAGCTCAGCTAATCTAGGCATGACTCTTGAAACTAATATCGTGATCTTGCTTGCGAAAGAGGTTATACCAGAGGACCTTCTCCGACGTAGGCAAGACCTCCTAGCTTCCTCCTTATTCTTCCGGTATGGCCGACCAAGCCTACATGCAGGCAAGGCAGACTTGAAGCAAGATTCAAGATATATAAGTAAAAGCTAGAGCGGCGTGGCAAGGCGACGTGTAGGCACCGCCAAGGGATTGAGCGCGGGGGGGGGGGGGGGGGGGGGGGGGGGGGGGGGGGGGGGGGGGGGGGGGGGGGGGGGGGCGGGGT